TCAAAATGGCTTAAGGATTTCCCTCAAATCATTGCTTCAAATTCAAATATTATTTATCACAATAAAGTCTCACAACAAAATAAGCCGAAGTAACAAACTTCAATATGCCTCGGCTTGAGGACATGCCAAATGGGTCAAAAAACCACTCCTGATAAGTAGTATTTTGGGGCTTGGAATAAGAATATTTCCAACGGTGTAGAAGCACTTACCATCTATACAGAAAGACATTGAAACCGGATTGGCGAAACTAATAAACAAATTAATTAACTTCTTCCCTAATATCCCCATCTCGGTTCAAGTTCTACCATTGGCAATGCCTCGAAATGAATGGTACGGGAGACCTAACATTACCTGCGTATTGTGAAGGAGATTGACCAAAGACTCCTTTAGATGAGGAATTTCCGTATTTGGCTCGATTCGCCTCAGTAACAAGGTAGGGTCAATCCGTTCTGTGCTGGCTTGATTTAAGAGAGCACAAATGAAGCCAGGTTTGTCCACCGCAAAAAAGACCACCTGCTTCCACAGCTCTCCAGTCTCGCGAGAAGTGGAATGCGAAGGAGAGAAACCTCTTCTCACGCCCCCACCTGCCTCCACTCCGTAGTCGTCATCATCATCGGCGCTACCGCCATCGCTGTTGTCGCCAACGCTAACAAAGTCGTCACCGTCACTGCTGACCCGACTTTGCTTTGGATGGGTCTTGGATTGTAGACGGTGAGGAGGGTCATAAGAAGTAAGGTAGATTCTGCGCTGAGAGTAGTCCTCCTCCAAACAATAGGCAATTGCTCGAGAAGCTACCTCAGCCTGGCGTTGTTCCACAGTCAGAGTCTTGCTCCCCAGCAAAAATGCATCCTCTGCACCCTACAGTGTTTATACAAGGTAAAAGCGATTTCGTGAAAACTGATGTCACTTCCTGCCGAAACCATCTTTAGCAGTCTGAATGTGGAACAATATTGCTTGAAAGGTATTCGTGAGTATTTAGAAGGCAGTGGGCGTAACCTGTTTACTTTCGATCTCAACATAAAACAGTGAACTTTGTATAAGCATAGCACAAGCACGCTGATCAGGTGGTAGAAATATCGCATTTTCCTCCAAGCGACAAATGTATGCTGTAAGAGGCTCACTTGCTATTGCAAATTATTTTAGATAACTCTCCATGCATGTCAAGAACCAAAGAACAGTGGAGTTTCTTATAGAGTATGCCACATTCATGCCTTCTTCCATAATTTTCTTTTTCAAAATCAAGCTAATTACTAGCTAGCTCAAATTCAACCCTGTCTTCTGACACTATTGTATGCACATCTTGACGAAATGCAGTTAGTTTACCATATATTTTCACCATGCATAGAATAACTGCGAAATAATGTTGTCAAAAAAAGCCCAATTAACTTCATTCCAGTACTTTCATCAAGCTATTCATAAAATTCTTCAATTTCGAAAAGAAAGCAAGTAAAGGTGTGCCCAGCCATTACTTTTTCCATGAGTAATCGCAGTGCATCCTTGCGACGTCCAACCCGCGTGAGTAGGTAGACGGTCTCCGGTACGTAGTTGAGGGACTGGCAGAGTGCCAGGGCCTCGTTGAGAGGATAGTGGTAGGTGGAGCGCAGAAAAGGTAGCAGCTGCTCACGAGAGTAGGACGCGTACAATTTTACCAACCTATGCACATGGGGCAGGGCGGCTCGCGGATTACGCGCATTTAGCGCGTCGAGGTACTGTTGAAGAGAAAAGTGGTAGCTCTATTGCTACAGGTTAACGATGCAAACACTTTTCCTTCTTTAGCCAATAAACCTAGCGCTAATAGACTCCAGGTCTTCGACCTACTCATAATAAAGCCCGTCCAAGATGGCACCATAACGTTATTAGAGACAGCTCTAACCCTACATTGACGCCAGTGTCAGTGAACTTATTCACCACCATATAAGGCCAATTTCATTGGTTCTCAACTAGATGTATTGGAAACAAATAAACCATAGGAACTCATTGGAACCTGAGGAAGGAAGTCAAGATCTCCTGGTTTCCTGAGAATTGGATGATGAACCGGGAGCATTCTCTGAACTCCATTTCCCAAGTGAAGGCATCCGTGAACATGAGAGCTATTTTTCAGTATAGCGAGTAGTTATATTCGCAGGACTCAAAGAGTCGAGCAGGAGCTACAGTACAAACGTTTGTTTAAATTGCATATCCAACTTGTTTTCTGCAGTTAAGTTTACGAAATAACGGTATACAGCGTTAAAGTTTGAGGCTTGAGGCACTATATCCGCGACACTATTGAAAGAGTCCAATTTTAGAGATCGACCAAAACAGGTTCGCGCATTAGTGAAATGGGGGTGAGTTGAAATTTGTACTAAGCAGCTGAAAAAATATAGTAATTTAATCAGTTACTCTTTAACCGAAATAGATTACCTTGAAAAGCAGCAGCGGTTGGGAATCAAGCTCTTCAACGACAAAATCA